AGGCTCCCAAGACCTTTGGTAGATGATCAAGAGGGGTCCTGCCATAACATCCACTAGCTCCTTCAGTACTCTGGGATGAATCCCATCAGGCCCCACGGACTTCTGAACATTCAGCTGATACAGCTGATCCCTTACAATTTCAGTGTCCACAAATGGAAAGTTACTGTTCCCACACTCATGGTCCTCCAACTCAGGGGACCACGCAGCCCAAGGTCTATCAATATGATTAAAGACTGAGGCAAAAAATGCATTTTACATTATAGGCTGCTCTAGTATTAGTTATAATGAGGTATGGAAAAAAAAAACCAAAACAGTTTACATGGATACTGAAGCCTAGATGCTTGTAGTTTCTAAGATGCAACAAATGAGCTTATGCCATCTGCTTAGTGGGGAAAAGAGTACTCTTGTATCTATTTTCACTCCTCCTCTGAGAGGGGCACACCTTGTCTTGTGTACCAGAATCCACTTTAGCCTATGTATACCAGAGTTGCCAATCAAACCTTGCGATGCAAAGTTAATGTCATCTACCACTCCATCTAGAACTTCATGGAAATATGAAATCTGAGGCAAAAGTTAATTCTTAGAGGAACAGGCAAGAATAGCAAATGTACTCACAGGTATTCGCAAGGCCCCAAGGAAGCTGATAGCTGATGTCCCATGTTTACCTTCCCCAGTGACCACAGTGCTGGAGTTGAGTGACACACTGCAATTTTCAGAGTCAATAAGTAAATGCTGCATCTCTGGATCCTGCAATTTCCCCCAGCAACACCATATGAAAAAAGAAAGGAACAATGCATCAAAACACGTATCAAGGAATCAAATAATTCCAAAGTAATTTTAAAAACAATTTATCTGTTTTAATCACAGAAAGTTACAGCTTTTAAAAATCTCTTGATTTGGATATACAGAGTATAGAGAGAGAGTATATACAGACTATCAGGTGAAACAAGCCTGGCTGTTTATGTCTGAGTGCATATGCTCCATTATGAAATCAAGTTTCTGTTCTATTGTGGAACAATTTCAAGTTGCAAAAAACACATATTAGAGTACAATTCAATGGAATAAAACAACTTCCAGTCTTCCCTTACCCCACTACCTAAATGTGGTCTAATTAAAACTGACAATCTACTGAGTACTACAACACATTTCTGTATAAAAGCATGTATTATCTTCTTTCTGTACAAATATTAAGCCCATTTTTCAGACTCTGTAACACCATCTTATTCACCAATTTAAATACAGGCCATCTTTCCAATTGAATTATGGATACTGAGTGCTTTATGTTAAACAATCACTTATTTTCACATCTGTTTCATTTGAGCATTGCAATTCACAAATTATAAAAGCCTGGAGTTTACCGATATTACCTAAGTTGTGAATTTTGAGTTCTTTTCTAGCAGTAGGAAGGATTTTACTCTAATAATTCTGCTGGCTGCTAAGAATACTTGCGGAGCAAGTTATCACTCAACAAGAACAAGCCATCCCAGTCTAGCCATGAGGCTATCTTGTTATTTTTATCCATCCACCACACTGAAGTGAACTCTCAGAATAGAACCTGAAATTTACATCTTACAGCTGTACACAGAAAAAGAAATTTCAGGTATAAATAGCCCTCAGTACTTCTTTTCCAACTCAGAAAAAGGATGGGATGCAGCTATCCTCACTTCCACCTTCTCGCTGAGAAGCTTACCTAGCTGTGTACTTTTACTAGCTATGGATGCACTCTACATACTGTCTTCTTTCTCCCAATTCTTGTGCATTTCAATAAAGCCTTAGTGAAGAATTAAGCCTTAAATATATATTTGGCTGTAGGTTAGTAAGGAGAAAACGGCAGGCCATTCCATTTCCAGTAGTTATTACAAAGATGAAAACTTTCTGATTAATATTTGGTAAGCTGATGGAGGAAGAAAGAAAAGTGCTGGATAAATTCAGTTCTGCTATTTTACACTCAGCGATTCTAAACAAATTCCATTTTTAAAGAACTTCATTTAGGAGAAGACGCTAGGGAATCATCTGGCCACCTGAGCCCAGTCACTTAGCATAATTTTAGAAGCTACCATGCAGCATCCAAAATGCTTGCACAGGATTGCTAGATAGGATGCAGGATTTACAGGAGACCCTGCACCCTGATGAAGCATTAACTAGAAGACAGGAAAAACATCTAGAGACCTCTGACATAGCACTGTAAACTATGCTATGGCACATGAGTCACTCCATCATCATCGTATTTACCTTCTGAATTACTGGAGCAACTTCAAAACTTGAACTATTTTGACAGTAGCAATTCAAACCACCAGCTATTAACATAAAAGAAAAAAAGAGGGACCAAAAAAAAAAAAAAAAGGAGGGACAAAGAGAGGAAAAAAAAGGGCTTAAGAAGTG